CTAGCCCCCACAACCAACCCCAGTGTGTGTGCTCCCTTCCCTGTGTCCACGTGTTCTCATTGTTCAACACCCGCCTATGAGTGAGAACATGTGGTGTTTGATTTTCTGTTCTTGTGTGAGTTTGCTGAGAATGATGGTTTCCAGATTCATCCATGTCCCTATAAAGGATACAAACTCATCGTTTTTTATGGCTGCATAGTATTCCATGGTGCATGTGTGCCACATTTTCTTTATCTAGTCTATCATCAATGGGCATTTGGGTTGGTTCCAGGTCTTTGCTATTGTAAACCGTGCTGCGATGAACATAAATGTGCATGTGTCTTTATAATAGAACAGTTTATAATCCTTTGGATATATACCCAGTAATGGGATTGCTGGGTCAAATGGAATTTCTATTTCTAGATCCTTGAGGAATCGGCACACTGTCTTCCACAATGGTTGAACTAATTTACACTCCCATCAGCAGTGTAAAAGTGTTCCTATTTCTCCACATCCTCTCCAGCATCTGTGGTCTCCAGATTTTTTAATGATCACCCTCCTAACGGGCATGAGATAATATCTCAGGGTGGTTTTGATTTGCATTTCTCTAATTACCAGTGATGATGAGCATTTTCATATGTTTGTTGGCCTCATATATGTCTTCTTTTGAAAAGTGTCTGTTCATATCCTTTGCCCAGCTTTGAATGGGTTTGTTTGTTTTTTCTTGTAAATGTGTTTTAGTTCTTTGTAGATTCTGGATATTAGCCCTTTGTCAGATGGGTAGATTGCAAACATTTTTTCCCATTCTATTGGTTGCCAGTTCACTCTAACGATAATTTATTTTGCTGTACAGAAGCTCTGAAGTTTAATTACATCCCATTTGTCTATTTTGGCTTTTGTTGCCAGTGCTTTTGGTGTTTTGGTCATGAAGTCCTTGCCTATGCCTATGTCCTGAATGGTTTTGTCTAGGTTTTCTTCTAGGGTTTTATGGTGTTAGGTCTTATGTTTAAATCTTTAATCTATCTGGAGTTAATTTTATTGCAAGGTGTCAGAAAGGGGTTGTTTCTGCTTTCTGCACATGGCTAGCCAGTTTTCCCAACACCATTTATTAAACAGGGAATTCTTTCCCCTTTGCTTGTTTTTTTCAGGTTTGTCAAAGATCAGATGGTTGTAGATATGTGGTGTTGCTTCTGATGCCTCTGTTCTGTTCCCTTGGTCTATGTCTCTGATTTGGAACCAGTACCATGTTGTTTTGATTACTGTAGACTTGTAGTATAGTTTGAAGTCAGGCAGCATGATGCCTCCAGCTTTATTATTTTTGCTTAGGATTGTCTTGGCTATGCAGGCTCTCTTTTGGTTCCATATGAAGTTTAAGGTGTTTTTTTCCAGTTCCATGAAGAAGCTTATTGGTAGCTTGATGGGGATAGCATTGAATCTTTGAATTACTTTGGGCAGTATGGCCATTTTTATAATATTGATTCTTCCTAACCATGAGCATGGAATGTTTTTCCATCTGTTTGTGTTCTCTGTTATTTTCTTGAGCAGTGGTTTGTAGTTCTCCCTGAAGAGGTCCTTTATATCCTTCGTTAGTTGTATTCCTAGGTATTTTATTCTCTTTGTAGCAATTGTGAATGGCAGTTCGCTCTTGATTTGGCTCTCTTTTAGTCTGTTATTGGCCTATAGGAATGCTTGTATTTCTGCACATTGATTTTGTGTCCTGAGACTTTGCTGAAGTTGCTTATCACTTTCAGGAGATTTTGGGCTGAGACCATGGGGTCTTCTAAAAATCCAATCATGTCACCTGTAAATAGAGGCAATTAGACTTCCTCCTTTCTTAATTGAGTGGCGTTTATTTTTCTTGCCTGGTTGCTCTGGCTAGAACTTCCAACAGTATATTGAATAGGAGTGGTGAGAGAGGGCATCCTTGTCTAGTGCCAGCTTTCAAAGGGAATGCTTCCAATTTTTGCCCATTGAGTATGATATTGGCTGTGGGTTTGTTGTAAGTAGCTTTTATTATTTTGAGATATGATCAATTGATACCTAGTTTCTTGAGAGTTTTTAGCATAAAGGGCTTTTGGATTTTGTCAAAGGCCTTCTCTGCATCTATTGAGATAATCATGTGGTTTTTGTCTTTGGTTCTGTTTATGTGGTGGATTATGTTTATAGACTTGCGTTTGTTGAATCAGCCTTGCATCCCTGGGATGAAGCCTACTTGATCATGATGAATAAGCTTTTTGATGTGCTATTGCTTTGAGTTTGCCAGTATTTTATTGAAGATTTTTGTGTCAGTGTTCACCATGGATATTGGCCTGAAGTTTTCCTTTTTAGTTGAGTGTCTGCCAGGTTTTGGTATCAGAATGATGTTGGTCTTGTAAAATGGATTAGGGAGGATTTCATCCTTTTGTATTGTTTAGAATAGTTTCAGAAGGAATGGTACCAGCTCCTCTTTGTACGTTTGGTAGAATTTGGCTGTAAACCCATCTGGACCTAATTTTTTTTTGTTGGTAGGCTATTGATTGCTGCCTCAACTTCAGCCCTTGTTATTGGTCTGTTCAGGGTTTCAACTTTTTCCTGGTTTAGTCTTGGGAGAGTGCAAATGTCTAGGAATTTATCCATTTCTTCCAGGTTTACTGGTTTATGTTCATAGAGTTGTTTGTAGTAATCTCTGATGATAGTTTGTATTTCTGTGGAATTGATATCCCCTTTATCATTTTTTATTGCATCTATTTGATTCTTCTCTATTTTTTTCTTTATTAGTCTGGTTAGTGGTCTATTTTGTTGATCTTTTAAAAAAACAAGCTCCTGAATTTATTGATTTTTTTTTTGAAGGTTTTTTTTGTGTGTCTATCTCCTTTAGTTCCACTCTGATCTTAGTTATTTCTTGTCTTCTGCTAGCTTTTGAGTTTTTTCTTTTTTTTAAATTTTGCTCCTCTGTTTCTTTCAATTTTGATAATAGGGTGTCAATTTTAGATCTTTCTTCGCTTTTCTGATGGGCATTTATTGCCATAAATTTTCTTCTAGACACTGCTTTAAATGTCTGGGACATTGTGTCCTCATTCTTGTTGATTTTGAAGAACATCTTTATTTTTGCCTTCATTTCATTGTTTATCCAGTCCACATTTAGAAGCCAGTTGTTCAGTTTCCATGAAGTTGTGCAGTTTTGAGCTAGTTTCTTAATCCTGAGTTCTAATTTGATTGCGTTGTGGTCCGAGAGACTGTTTGTTATGATTTCCGTTCTTTTGCATTTGCTGAGGAGTGATTTACTTCCAATTATGTGGTAGATTTTAGAGTAAGTATGATGTGGTGCTGAGAAGAAAGTATATTCTGTGGATTTGGGGTGAAGAGTTATGTAGATGTCTGTTAGGTTTGCTTGGTCCAGATCTGTGTTCAAGTCCTGGATATCCTTCTTGATTTTTTATCTCATTCATCTGTCTAATATTGACAGTGGAGTGTTAAGGTCTCCCACTATTATCATGTGGGAGTCCAAGTCTCTTTGTATGTGGTTAAGAACTTGCTTTATGTATCTGGGTGCTCCTGTATTGGATGCATATATATTTAGAATAGTTAGCTCTTCTTGTTGCATTGATCCTTTTACTATTACGTAATGCCCTTCTTTGTCTCTTTTGTCTTTGCTGGTTTAAAGTCCATTTTATCAGAGACTAGGATTGCAAGCCCTGCTTTGTTTTTGCTCTCCATTTGCTTGGTAAATCTTCTTCCAACCCTTTATTTTGAGTGTGTCTTTGCACATGAGATTTGTCTCCTGAATAAAGCACACTGATGGTTCTTGATTTTTATCCAGTTTGCTAGTCTGTGTCTTTTGATTGGGTCATTAAGTCATTTACATTTAACATTAATATTGTTATGTGTGAATTTGATCTTGTCATTTTGTTACTGGTTGGATGTTTTGCCCTTTGGTTGCCCCCGCAGTTTCTTCACTGTGTCATTGGTCTTTACAATTTGGTTCTTTTTTTGCAATGGCTGGTACTGGTTGTTCCCGTGTTTAGTGCTTCCTTCAGGAGCTCTTGTGAGGCAGGCCTGGTCATGACGAAATCTCTCAGCAATTGCTGGTCTGTAAAGGATTTTATTTCTCCTTCATTTACTAAGCTTTAGTTTGGCTGGATATGAAATTCTGGGTTGAAAGTTCTTTTCTTTAAGGATGCTGAATATTGGTTCCCACTCTCTTCTGGCTTGTAGTTTCTGCTAAGAGATCTGCTGTAAGTCTGCTGGGCTGCCCTTTGTAGGTGACCCAACCTTTTTCTCTGGCTGCCCTTAGCATTTTTTCCTTGGTTTCAACCCTAGTGAATCTGATGACTATGTGCCTTGGGGTTGCTCTTCTTGAGGATTATCTTTGTCGCATTCTCTGTATTTCCTGTATTTGAATGTTGGTCTGCCTTGCTAGGTTGGGGAAGTTCTCCTGGATATATCCTGAAGAGTGTTTTCCAGCTTGGATTCAGTCTCCCCATCAGCTTCCAGTACACTGATTAAGCATAGATTAGGTCTTTTCACATAATCCCATATTTTTTGGAGGTTTTGTTCATTTCTTTTCACTCTTTTTTCTCTTTTCTTGCCTTCTCATTTTATTTCATTGAGTTGATCTTCAGTATCTGGTATCCTTTCTTCTGTTTGATCGATTCAGCTATTGAAACTTGTGTATGCTTCGTGAAGTTCTTGTGCTGTGTTTTTCAGCTCCATCAAGTATTTATGTTCTTCTCTAAGCTTGTTATTCTAGTTAGCATTTCATCATACCTTTTTTCAAGGTTCTTAGTTTCTTTGCATTAGGTTAGAACATGTTCCTTTAGCTCAGAGAAGTTTGTTATTACCTACCTTCTGAAGCCTGCTTCTGTCAGTTCATCAAATTTGTTCTCCATCCTGTTTTGTTCCCTTGCTGGTGAGAAGTTGTGTTCCCTTGGTGGGGACAAGGCATTCTGGTCTTTGACGGTTTCATCCTTTTTGCACTGGTTTCTTCCCAATTTCTTGGGTTTATTTAGCTTTGATTTCAGGTAGCTGCTTGGTGAGGTGACCTTTCTTTTATCTGCCTGCAGAGGCGCTGCTGAGCTGCCACAGTTTCAGTGGAACTGCTATGTGGATTTCCTGTGTCTTTTTGCCTACTCTGAAAGATTAGGTCTGCCTCTGCAATGGCGGCTGCCCTTCCCTCTGTCGAGCTTGATCGTTGCATTCTAACTGATGTGTTGGCTGCGATTCTCTCAAGTGAGAGGGCTTCAGCCTGCTGGGCTTTGTTGAGGAGTGATCCTCCCAGCACTATTGCTTGATTCCCTGTTTTCAGTTCCCTTTCTCTCTTGGTGGTGAGTAGCTCCATCCCACAGCCTTCTCGACATCGGCCACTGCTTCCACTTAGATCTGTGCCAACAACCTTGGCACTGCCAGAGTTGCTGCTCAGCCCTGTTCAGGCTGCTTGTGTGGGATTTTCAGTCCTGCAAAGATCTCCTTTTCTGTGGGTTGTGGAGGGTTTGGGTGAAGCGCAAAATCCAAACCGAAGTCCTGAAGGGGGAGAGCTCCTATTCACTGCTCAGCTGCACTCCTGGGCAGTCCTTATTGTAATTCTTTAATTGGTCCCCAATATCTGAACTACAGATGATTCCTTTACACTCTCTATTTTGCTTTAATACTGTAAAATATAGACTTTAGAACTAATTCATTATGCAAATGAACATTCTGTCCTTGTTTTGCATACAAAATAGCTTTTCTCATAAGCATTGATAGTCTCTCTCTTCATGACAAGATAGAAGATCTCTCTTCATGACAAGATAGAAGAGCAAGTCCATGTAGACCCTCTTTAAGAATGGCATCTCCAAGTATATAATTGGATTAGTCTTCAAGATTAAAACTGTACTGGTCTTTCATTTGAAATGGCTTTTGCACAGTTGATTGGGAGTACTTTGGGGTTGAAAATATTATTAAAATTGTTTTTGCTTCTTTTACCTATGTTTCATACTCTCACTTATTTCTCATGAGCATTGTGGCTATATCTGTGTGGCCAAAATGTAGATGTCAGGAAATAAACAGCAATACCTTGAAAGTTTAACTAAGTTCGCTGGGCGAGGTGGCTCATGCCTGTCATCCAAGCACTTTGGGAGGCTGAGGCAGGCGGATCGCCTGAGGTCAGGAGTTTGAGAGCAGCCTGACCAACATGGTGAAACCTGTCTCTAAAAAAAAAAAAAAGTTTAAGTTCCATCCTCAGGGGTGTTTTGTCCTTTTTTTGCTATCTACAATAGTCATATTTGGTAGTGAGAAATCGAGTTAAGTACCATAAGAAGAAATTTTCATAAGAATACAAAATCAGACAAAATTTGCCCAGAATTGGTTCTTTTTCTTTCTTAGAAATCCTTTAACCTTACAAACAGTAGAGAGAGGTACTGTTTGTAAGGTTAAAGGATTTCTAAGAGGTCGCTTAAAGGAGTTATAGGTCAATTTAATGTGACTTTGGACTCTTAGCAGTTTCCAGATTTCCATGATATTTCATTTTATATACCCAGGATAGAGCGAATTTCCATATTATAAATGAAACATCAAGGCTTAGATTAGCAAATTGTTTGTCCAGTGTCACATTGCTGAAGAATAAAGAGCTGGGTGGAGAGACCTAAACCAAGGTTTTTTCCAAGTTTGTCGCTTTTGCCATAATATAAATTTTTCCTAGATTTTGCCTCACCTAATGTTTTGTTTTTTGTTGTTGTTGTTGATGAGATGTCAACAAGTATTCTTTTAAAAGGTCAAGTAATTTAGACAATGCTGGTTTAAGTTTTGAAGTATTTTTTTAAAAATATTGTTGATTTAACTCATTAGTTATGTCTTTTGTAAACATATTTCCTCATTCTGAGCTTTGTCTTTTTACTTTTATAGAGTATGTTCTGATGAATAGAAGTTACAAATTAAACTGTTGAGTAACTTATTAATTTTTTTTTCATGATATAAGCTTTTAGTGTTTTGTTTTGGGAATTCCTCCATACTCTCATATAATGTCATATATTTTCTTTTCTATTTTTTTTTTTTTTTTGAGTTGGAGTTTCTCTCTCGTTGCCCAACCTGGAGTGCAGTGGCGCAATTTCAGCTCACTGCAACCTCCGCCTCTTAGGTTCAAGTGATTCTCCTGCCTCAGCCTCCTGAGTAGCTGGGATTACAGGTGCCCACCACTATACCCAGCTAATTTTTTGTATTTTTAGTGGAGATGGGGTTTCACCACATTGGGCAGGCTAGTCTCGAACTCCTGACCTTGTGGTCTATCCTCAGCCTTCCAAAATGCTGGGATTACAGGTGTGAGACAGCACACCTGGCCTGATTTGTTTTTTACATTTAGTCAATATACAGTATATCTAAAACTGATGATAATATAATATGCCTGGAACTGATTTGGGGCTATGGTGCGAGGTAAAGATCTAATTTAATTTTTTTCCCATACGGATAAATAATTGTCCCTGCAACATTTGATCACAGACCTTCAGGAGTTGCCTCCATCTGTGAAATTTCTACTCATTAGTAATCTGACCTGGCCTCTCTATTCTGTGACATTTAGTTATTCGGTCTGTACATATGCCAATACCAGTACTATTTGTAATTGAAAAAAAAATTTAAATATCCAACAGGAGACTAGATAAATAAATTGTGGCATATATGTACAACTAAGTACTACACAACAGTGAAAATAAATAACGAGGTACATACATTAAAATCTCATAAATATAATGTTGAGGTCCTCTCCTCAAAAGAATTAGCAAAATAATACCTAGAGCATGATACCATTTATGTAAAAGTTAAAACCATAAAAATCAATATGCCTTTTGTTTAGATGCATATGCAGAGGTAATAAAGATGCTAGTAACTGCATAAACAATCTATACAACATTCAGAATTCTGTTACCTCTGAGAGAGGGAACAGGTATGATGAGAGAGGAGAACACAGAGGTGCCGAATGTGTTTGTAATATTTCTTTCTTATGCTGCTAGGGGGTTTATTCTACCATTCTTTACACCTTCTTATGTCTGAAAAGTTTACCTAGTGTTTTAGAAATAATAATGCAAGATGCCTTTACTGCTGTAGTTCCTGGGGACTTTAATTTACTAATAGGCTTTGTGTTGATCCCAAAAAGGGGCATTCTATGAGTGTTTCCCAATTTAATTGACCATGAAACCATTTTTTCCCCCAGGAACATCTATTGGTATCTTGGGTGTTAATCTTGTTTCATGAATCCCAGATTCAGAAAATGTACGTTAGACCATACTGCTTACAAAGATGAGACAAATCCAAGGTCTAGTCTTTCTTTAGTGTCTCATCAAGTTACAGAAGTGCTTTGAACTCAGCAGGATAATAAAGGAGGTGTTGTGCATGTGGTTTTTACCTTAGCATCTTTCTTCAAGTTCCTAGCTATTCCTATGGCTTTAATTTGTTGGGTACATTCCCCTCTTACTCCATTCTCTGGGGGTGGTCAGAATATTTAAAATAGAGAAACCAACAAAAGATAGCTTCTACATGGTGAGAGTACAGCCATAATATGACCTCCTCTTTGTTTCCAAAGTGCAGTGCAAATAGCACATAGTGTAGAGAATGTCTGTTACAGAAATAAGAGAGACTGAAGGCATTCATTGATTAAAAGTTAATTGTTACAGATAATGTTATTACCCTATTAATAGAGTATTTTTTGATTGGTTCATCTTCGTAAATAAAATTGAGATATAGAATATATTTTTGTAATGGAAGTAATTGTAATGAGACCTTATTTTAACTAGTTTTTATAAATATTGGAAAATGAAGCTGATTGTTACTTTTTTTTTTTTTTACAATAGGAATGCTTTATTTGGTAGAATTTTTTTTTTTTTTTTTAAAGAAGGTATAAGTAAACAGCTGATGTGATCTGGCAAGCTTCAATTCCACTGCAGCGTACTTTTCCTATTTATAAAGTGCAGTAAAAATGTTGGCTTTTAGAAACTGATATTCCCTGGGTGTGCAAGTATCATAAGGTTTTTGTTGTTGTTGTTGTTATTGCTCTTAAAAAAAAAACCTGTAGCAAAATTGTAATAGAAAACCTCAAAAATAAGACTTAGTATAATGTCTGTACTCATATTTTAAAAGGGAGAAATTATTTTAAGATGGCCTTTTAAAGGTTGTGGCCCCAAATGGTGACTGTAAGCCTGTGCAGTCTAGTGTATGTGCTACTACAATCTTGCTTGAGGCTCATAAATCTTACATTATTTGGAGTAAGTGTAGACACTCCAAAATGAATTTAGAGGCAAATATGAATGTGTTTCTGGACGTGGGCTTGGTGAAGAGAATGCTGTGATCATGTGTCAAAAAAATTCTAATCATCTGGTCTTATAATGAATGGATTAGTTCCTCCATTCTGCCAATAGAACATGAGTGTATGAAAACTTTGAAGTGTGGGAGGCAACGGCAAAGAAAACAATAAACTGTGCATGTGAGACTAGCTTGATGCTTGGTGATTAAGAGATGAGGGCCCCGCGGGTCAGCTCCCCATAGGTACAAACAGATGTTTGCACTGTTTCACAGCTGCTAAATATGATATAAATCCAAAGAATTTTTCTTGTTTTTATAAAAGGAAAAATACCCAGACAGCAAATTTTTGGTCATTCAGATACTCTTACCAAATGACATCTGGTTTCTGTACTGCTTATTTAAGCAATCCTTTAAAAAAAAAAAAACTTTGCCGAGGGGAGGAACTCTAATCTTTCAGTCCTTCACCATACATAACAGTACAGTTTAAATTACAGTGTCACATGCAGAGTTTATTATAAGCAATGCCATTTCTTTATTCCTTAACTAGCAAGTTTTAAGAAAATGGGTTAGATATTACCTAATTAGTTAAGGAAAATCTGTGATGAGGTTACGTGTAGAATATCCTAAGGTTGCAATCCTAATGATGGCAAAGAAAATGAATTAATTGTTTCCATATGTTAGGGATGGTGGTGAGCAAAGTTAAACTATACAGTTACCTAAAATAAAATGTCAGCAATATAGCAAGACAGTATTTTGACTTGCATCAAGGTGAGAGAACATGAAAGGCAGAAAGGAAGCAGTGACAGGTTGGAGGTCAAGACAAAAATGAATCTTAATAAAGGACGTGCCTAAATCTTTAAAGAAGAACCAGATTTTTGCCCTCTATGCATCCATTACACTTTCGAGTTTGCATACAGAAATTTCATTCATTACTGTGCTCAACAGCAAATATGTTTCTATTGATTGGTCCCCACAAAGGTGTCTATGTTGAAGTATCAAATGCCCAAGCCTACAGCCTTGCCTTCTGAATTTCTTCTACCTCAGCGTTTATGGCTGACATTGGTCTATGGTTCC